TTTGTTTCTCTAGAGAACCCTAAGACACTATCTCCCCAATTCCCAGACCCAAATCCCTGCTTCTCACAGCCGTGTGCACGCACATTGCACAGCTCTGCCCATCCATGCCACTCCCCTAGAACTCTCGTCTTCCTGACACTGCACATCAGTTAAGTAGAAAATATAAGACTGAAGTTATGGCAGCTGGAGTTGGTTACCTGCCCAACAGCCAACATCACTAACGGAACCTTGATTTTGTTCACAGTCCCAGGGAGTGAGTCATAGCAATCGCCTTCCCCTTTGCTTGTGGTTGGTTTAGGATGGGCAAGCAACCCAGATCTTGCCAAAGAGATTAAAGGGAAGTCTTCTGGGCGAATTCTGGAAAAAGGGTTTTCTCTCTGGTTAAAAGACACTTGCAAGGAAAGGTCTATCACTTTTTCCTGCTTCAGAAGTGGAATAAGGACATGATTTTGGAGCTCCTGCAGCCATCATATGACCATGGGGTGGGAGTGGGGGGCAAGAGGATCACAGACATGCCAACCCAGAGCCCTGTCATTGTTGAGTTACTGGACCAACCACCTACTTCAGATGTCTTGTTATGTGAGAAAAATAAACTCCCCTTAAAGAAGTCAGAGTAATGCGTATTCTTTGGTTTGCAGCTGAAAGATCCTGATAGAGGAGGGGAATAAAGCTGCCAAGCCCCACTGCAGGGAAGACTATGAGATGACACTCAGACTTTCACCTTGTCTCCTGGCAGGGCACCTGTCTAACCCAACCTGGACAGAGGTACACCTGAGCTCTCCAAGATGGGAAATTCATAAGCTTTCTTACTCTCCCTCCAGTGCCTCCTCGTCATCATCACTCCAACAGGCCTAGCCTGAGCTGGAGAGCCTTGGGGCCACCCACAAGGTCCCTTCCAGCAAAGAGTGTCCAGCCCATCTTCCTTTGGTATGGAGTTATGGTCAAGAGGGAGCTCTGGAGTCTCACTGTGTACTCCTAGGCAAGTTGCTTAACCTCCCTCCGCCTGTTTCCTCATCTGTAATGGGAATAATAGTGCCTAGTTAATATGGTTATTTTTAAGATTATAAGGATGAAATGTCAAGTGCTTACCAGAGCATCTGACATTCTGCGGTGGGCCTCAAAGACCACCCTCAGATTCAATAATCCTCTAGAAAGACTCATGGAACTCAGAAAAGCTGTTATACTCACAGTTATGGTTTATTACAGCTAAAGGATACAAATTAGGATCAGCAAAGGTAAAAGATGCATAGAGCAGAAGAGACCAGGTGCAAGCCTGCAGTGGCGTTGTATGAACAGTGCTTAATTCACCTGGTAATGGTGTGTAACAACGTACATGGAGTATTGTCAACCAGAGAAGCTTACCTGAGCCTTGGTTTCTAGGATTTTCACTGAGGGTTGGTCAAGCCGGCATGGAGCACCCATGAGGGTGACCTGTTACTCATTCTCCAGCCCCTCCAGATGTCAAACTGATAGTGTGGCCCAGGACTCCCACATTGTTAGCATAAATTATCTGGTGTGGCCCAAGGCCCCAGGTAAAAAGACACTCTAATCAGGCAGGGTATTTCAAGGGCTTAAAGGTAATCTCCTAGGAGCCAATTAAGGGCTAGACCTTTCTTTGGAATGTGCAGGGTTTAAACACCCCAGACCTGCTGGTCAACCTTTTACTGCACAGACACATAAGCAGCAACTAATGTCACTTTTGTTTTTTCCACAAGGCTGAAATCTGCCTCCTTCTAGCATCCATCCTTTGTCACTGGTTCTACACTGTAGAATCATATAGCATCAGGCTAGCCCTCTTCCTCATTGTTAGGGGGAACTTTTTCTCCCATTCCTCTTGTTTCATTATGGAGGGACCTCCACTCAAGTAGCATTCCTGGGCTCTCTTTTCTCTCACTTACGTCTCCTCAAGAAAGGCGAATGATTTCTGATTGGTGGGTTTGGGAGAAAGATCAGCTTTTGCTCACCCTTTCCTCTGTCCTGAGCTGCCCCTCTACAGACAGGAGCCTTCTGCTCTGGCCCTTCACTCCATAGGTTTTACAGCAGCAGCCCCTCAAGAGGCCTGCAGCCGTCACTACTGCTGACACCTGTGCCTGGAGACCGTGTTAGACTCAGGGATGAGGTCTTAGCAAGCCTATGGGTCCAGCAGACCTTAAACCATCATTTCAGGCAGATTTATCAGCAATCGAAGTGATATTTTGCCTCTGTCTGCCTGGATCCTGCATCTACCACTCAACTCGTCCCTAACGTAGACAAAGGGAAAGAGGGTGACTTTTATCACCCCCTCCTAAAAGACAATCAGCCCTTCCAGTGTTCGGAAGACCATAATCAGGTCTCCCCTCAAAATGTCTCCTGCGAATATCCCCAGGTCCTTCAATCATGCTTCACTCTTTGGGTTCCCTGGCTTGTCTCCATCCTCTGGACACACTCCGGGTTGTCTAGAACCTTCTTAAAATGCTGGGCCAGAACTAAACAGAGATGACTCCAGATGTGGTCTGATGAGCACCAATCACAGGCATCACCCCTCAATCTGGCCTCAGAATTCCCACAAACACTGTCACTCTTGGGCAGCTACATTACACGCTGAACTTGCAGTTGACTCCAATCCTTTTCCATGTGAATTAGAGTTCAATCCATTTTCCCCTGCAGAAGGCAGTTGATTTTTTTAACCTCTTCTTATAGTTGGCCAATCAAAGTCACCTTCTCAGATACATTTGTAAGCACACATCCAGGCATCCCCTACAACGGACTGCTCTGGGAGGGATCACAATAGAAGGTCCCAGACAGAGCTGGAGGAAAATGGAGAAGACAACAGCAACTCAAAAAAGGACCAGACTCACTGGCCTGACAGAGGCTGGAGGAACCCCGAGAGTGTGGCCCCCGGACACCCTTTTAGCCCAGTAATGAAGTCACTTCGAGGTTCACCTTTTAGCCAAAGATCAGACAGACCCATAGGACAAAATGAGACTAAAGGGGCACACCAGCCCAGGGGCAAAGACTAGAAGGCAGGAGGGGACAGGAAAGCTGGTAACAGGGAACCCAAGGTCAAGAAGGGAGAGTACTGACATGTCATGGGGTTGTTAACCAATGCCAGAAAACAATATGTGTATTAACTGTCTAATGAGAAGCTAGTTTGTTCTGTAAACCTACACCTAAAGGTCAATTAAAAAAAAAAAAAAAAGTTTAAGGGTATAGGAATCTCGCCTATAAAACAATCCTTTTTCCCGGCGCTCACCTCACCAGTTTCAGTACTCTCACATTTTATCTATTCAGGAAGTGTTTGTCAGATATTCACAAGTCTTCCAAAACTATTACACAGTGGTTAAGAACACAGACACTGAAGTTAGACATTTCTAGGTTCAAATCTCAACTCTATCACTTACCAGCTGTGTGACCTTGGGCAAGTTACTTGGCCTCTCTGAGCTTTGGTTTCCATAGACTCTCAAAGTGAAGTCTATGATAGTATCTACCTTCAAAGTGTTGTTGTGAGGATTAAGTGCATGTAAAGGGTCAATCATGGTACCTGGAATATATTATGTTCTCAATAAATATTAGCTACTATTATTAGTAGTAATATTAATATTATAACCCCTATTATTACCACTTCAGCTAAACCCTTTAACGTATAAACTGCCTAAAGTTAGAGTAGGGATTACAGCCCTTCAGGGTAACAGTTGGTGAATGGTAACAGCTGCAGTTAACGATGAATCAAAGGATCCTTTTGTGAAGTTCAGCTTGGGGGTTCCAGATGGTCAAATCTTGTTTGGGAAGATTCTATGAAAGAGGAGGGAGGAGAATGGGGCTGAAATAGCAGATCATCAGTGGGTATGGAATACGTTGTGAGAACTGAGCTGGGAAAATAGAGACCCGGCTCTGCTCAGGTGCCGAATCTGGCTCCCAGGCCCCTCACTGCTCTGCTTAGGGGAGATGCCTGCTGCATGGCAGCATTTTGGGGGACCAGAGGACAGAAGAGTCTATGAAACAGAGGCTCATTGGAGATAAAAGGTGCAGTGACAGCTAAGGAGCCCCAACATCACCTAAGAGATGATCTCAACCCTCCAGAAGGATGGGCCCATCAGCCTGGCCCAGGCTCCTGCCTGGCTCCAAAATCAGGAGGGACAGCAGCATGGTGCAGCGAGTGAGCACAGGTCAGGAGTCAGTGACATGGACTTGAACCACGGGCCTGCCACTTCATAGTATGGAGACCCTGGGTAAAGGACTTAGCCTTCCTGACATCGTTTTCCTCGTGTACAGTGGAGAGACAACACTTACCTCCAAAAGTGCCTGCGAGAGGAGATGAGGTGATGTGTGTAAATTGCCTGATCAAAGGCCACCGTTCATGGGTCATACAGGAAAATCTGTTTCACTACTTTATAGTCCCACCTTATGGGTATCACATCCTCAGTGCCCTAAAGCTCAGCTAACTCCACTCATCAGAATCTTAATAAGCACCATCAGTCTGGTTTTCCCGTCTAAATACTAAGTGCAGCAGAAGTGGAGGTGGGGAAAGGCAGCAAAGACGAGCAAGGTATGACATCTAGCAGCAGACAAAAGCCAAATAAAGCAAGGATAAGAACTACAAGAGTTCGGCAACCTGGGGCCATCTAGTGCCTGGGCAAACCAGTCGCCCCATCTCAGTAGCTCATACTTAAGTGACGCGTCATGAGAGCCCCGAGTCATTAAAAGGTCAATTCTGTTCAATACAATCAGTTTAAGAACATTTAAAAAAAACAACAACAACATACATTTGAGCAACATTGCCATTACACAAAGAACAAAAAAAGGTGAAAAGTTTCAGGTGTCAGGAAGACTTAGTATTGGGATGCCTCCTTCCTTGAGGACTCCAGATAAAAGAACATACTGGGTCTCCTGGCCTCTCAACGAGGTGTTATTTATGTAGAAGCAAGGCAATGGAAATGGGGAAAGGGGAGCACTCAAGTGGCTAGGGGCTTGGGCTTGTCTTTGCATTAAAAATATCTGGCACTGAGTGCTGGGCTGGAGCTTCAGCTGGCCTGGATCTTCTTGGGGGCCCCCAGAGCCTCGCGGCTCTGGCGCAGAAGCAGGTACTCCAGCCGCTGGCAGTGCGCCCGGAGCTGCTTCTCGCGCGGCAGCAGGAAAGTGAGAACCTTGTTGCGCACGATGCCCCGGTCCTCCTCCTCTCGCAGCCGCTGCTTCACGCGGGCCGCCTGCTCCTCCTGCTGCGCCAGGACCCCGTTCATTTCACAGAAGGCGTCTTCCAAGTAATGGATGGCCTTTAGCGCCTCCTTCTTGAAGTCCTCTAGCTCCCGTTGCACCCCGGCCACCTTCTGCTGCAGGATCTCCAAGTCAGGCGACGGCGGGATGCAGGAGGGCCACGACTGGGGCAGAGAAAAGTCTCCAGACTGGAGGCCACTCTCCACCATTTTCTTCCCTTGTAAGGTATTCACCTTCATGATGATGGACCCCGCCTGGTAGAGTGGTTCCATGGTCTCTTCCCAGTTGGACAAACAGTAGGGAGCCAAGAGACCCAGCGGGTCAGTGAATTGTTTTGGCTGGAGACAGGGTCATATGCAGTGGCGGAGACCTATGCATTGTGACATCAGGGCTCTTTCAGCCAACCGGGAGGAAAGCCACAATCCATTCATCTGCATATTGGCTGGTGGATTCTCATCATCTCATCACCCTTCTGGAGCCAGAAGCTCGGTCTGTCCTTTAGCCTGAGGGAGAAACTTAGGCCCAGAGTAGAGCAGTAAACCAGCCAGAGCAAGGCAGGCCAGGCCCGGCTTACTGACCACCAAGTCTGGGTGGTCTTCTGCACTAGCAAGTGGCCTAGGTGGTCTTGGAAAGGTCTCTGAGCTTCTGTCCCTTGCTGGTAAAACAAGAACACTGTAAGGGATGATGCATAATCTTACTTGTAGCTCTCAAATGTTAAAAGCGTCATTTCTGACTCCAAGTCCCTACTTCTACAATGATTCCAGAACGCTAGATAATCTCAGCAGGCATGAGAAATGTACTTAAGTTTTGATGTATGGTCCACAGCCATGGCTGACTTAGGATACACAGGGTAAAAATGGGTCACTCCTTCATTTATTCAATAAGTATTTACTGAGCTCTCACAATGTGTCAGGACTGGGGAACAAGTGTGAGCAAGAGTGGTCCCTCACTCCTTGCCCTCCCTGAACATACCTGAATGTTGACAGAGACGAGAAAAAATACACAGAAGGGTAAATTTCTCTCCTTTTACTTGATTGCTATAACAGAGGAAGATCACTGGATGACGTAAACGATTTGCACTTGGCTACTAACTGGAAGGTTGTTGGTTCCAATCCACCCAGAGGCACCGCAGAAGAAAGGCTTGGAAATCTACTTCCATAAGATCACAGCCATTGAAAGCCCTATGGAGCACAGTTCTACTCTGAAACACATGGGGTTGTCATGCGACAGAACTGACTCGACAGCAACAGGTTTTATAACAAACAAGAGGTTTCTAGCTAACCTGCATTTGGATTAGTCAAGAACAAACCTCTATCTTGTATATTTATCTCAGTCTCTTGCCCAGACCTCTCTCCTGGGCTGCAAATCTAAATGTGTCCTCAACAATGCCCCTCAAATTTAATCCATCCAGTACTGAACTGGTTATCTTTTCACCTACCCTGGTTCCTGTTCTGGTGTCACCTGTCAGGTTAATGACACCATCACAGGGCAGCAACCACAGCAATTACCCAAATGAGAAACCTGGGATCAACTTAGACCTTCCATATCAAAGTGGCTCTAAGTTCTATCGAATCTACCATATCTGAGCACTCAGCATCAGATCGCCTGGGTTGGAGTCCCAGCTCCACTACCTACAAGCTGTGTATCTTGGACAGATTACCTCACTTCCCTGAGCCTCAGTTTCCTTACCTAGAAAGTGTTATTGTTAGATGTCGTCCAGTCGGCACAACAGAATGGTCCTACACCGTCTTCACAATCATTAGTCCACTGCTGCAGCCACTGTGTATTTCGAGTGTCTTCCAGCCTAGAGGTTTCATCTTCCAGAGCTCCATCAGTGACTCCAGATCGATAACCCCCCTCTCTGAGTCTTTTTCCTCTGCTGTAACATGAGATGGTGGGAAGGGCTTCTCTGAGGTCTTCCGTGTTGTAAGATCTACACAGTCCTTCCTTTAAACCTCTCTTGACACACTTACCTCCTTCTGCCTTATTTTGTGACTTTAGGACCCTGTCCCAGGTCCCCGATGGCACAGTGAACTCCGTGAGGGCAGAGTGTGTATTTCTCTTGTGTACCCTCGAGTGGGTGCCCTGTACATGATGGCACTCTGGTAACTGGATGAATAGAATTTATCTTCATAGACGGCAGTGAAGACCCACGGAGCCCTGGTGGCGCAGCGGTTAAGAGCTCAGGCTGCTAATCAAAAGGTCGGCGGTTCAAATCCACCAGCCACTCCTTGGAAACCCTATGGGGCAGTTCTACTCTGTCCTATAGGGTTCTGTGGGTCGGAATCGACTCGAAGGCAACTGGTTTTTGATGAAGACCCGCAGCAGCTTACCTTTCCCTCTGACTTGATGACACCTACTGGTCTGAGTGGGAACAGCAACCTCTTTATTCTCCTACCTAGGTGCCAGATTGGCATTTGAGAGGCAGTATAAACAGCCTGCGGTCTCATGGTGTATTTAATTAGAGGCGTGTATGTGTCTGCCACACAGTGGGTTCTCAATAAATATTTCTTGACTCAGTGAAAGGAAGAATGTGTCTCTGTTTCTACCTTCCTGTTTCTCTTTCTCTGAGTGTTTTTCTGTTTCTGCCTCCTTTGTCTTTCTCTCTCTCATCCTCTCTCTCTCTGACTCTGATTCTCTGCCTCTTTGTCATTGTCTTCCACGAGAACGGTGGAAGTCATAACCAGAGCCATGAAAGAAAAGTAGCAAAAGTTAAAATGGAATAGCAATTTCTCAGTTTCCCTAAACCATAAAACCGACTGCTGTCGAGTCAATTCTGATTCATAGGGACCCTATAGTACAGAGTAGAATTGCCCCCATGGGGTTTCCAAAGAGAACTGGTGGATTCAAACCGCTGACCTTTATGATTAGCAGCCAAGCTCTTAACCACTGCACTAGCTGGCTCAATTTCCCTAGTGTGTTTAAATGAGAAGTGTTTGAGCTATCACTTTGCTTCTCCTCGGAACCACCTGGCCAGGAAAGACAGTGCGAAGAGGCCTGGTTTCCACATAAGCCACAGTGGAGGCTGACAGCAAGCTGGCGCTCAGCTAGTGGAAGACCCCAGGCCTGGTGGCCTCCCCGTTCAGGGTCTGCTCTGAATGTTCTCCTTCTGGAAGCTTTATAGTGAAGGCCTGTGCCTTCCTCACAGAATTTCCTTCCACATATCCTAGGAAAATAAGAAGGTGGATTTATTTGTTCCCTTCAAGGTGTCATGAGAAAGGTTTCTAACATCTCTTGGCAAGGCAGCTCATGGACTTGAAGTAGTTCAGAGCCTCTTGGTGCCTCAGAAGGACCAGGGCAGGGGGGAGAGTGCTATCCAAGCTGACGTGAGAGTCAGGTTCAACTTGAATGGGGGAGGGCTGAGTGGTCAGCATAGCTCCCCTGGGTGGGCCCTGCTGGGTCTGACCATCATTTCTCCTGGGCTCAACCATCATTTCTGCTGGGGTCTGTTGGCCTCTTGTGAATGGAAACTGTAGGAGTTGACTTGCATCCCTCCCCAGGTCCCTTTCACGGCCCCCTATACCTTCACCTCTGCATGTGAAATAAACCTTGATCCTCTGCCCTTGACTCACGAAAAGTGACATGGATGTTCCTTGTCATGTCCCTTTATAAAAGTGAGGAAGCCCCTCAGAAGCTTCTCACATCCCATTTGTTAGAACTGCATTCACGTGCCCATTTCTAAACCAATCACTGGGTAGGGAAGTGGAGTTATTACAATTGGCTCTGATCTATCACGGTTCCTTTCTTGGGCCTGAGGCTGGGTCTAGGGCTACGGCTGGGACTGGGCTGAGCCTGGGGCTGGACTTGGAGCTGGACTGGGGCCACTCCCAAGCACAGGCCTCCCAATACCAGAACCAAATGGAGATTCCGTTCCAGGCAAGAAAGGGGGAGAAAAGGGCAAACAACACTATCTTCCAGAAGCGTAGTGATATTTTAGGAGAAGACACAGTGAAATGGCCATACTCAATCCCCTAAACATGAACTACTAATGTCAGCTTTCAGGTAGAGTGGGGAAACAGTCTTCTAGGACTTTCTTAAAACTGATCTACTTCCTCCCACCCCCAAGAAAAAAATTACTGAAAAAAAATACAGACTTCAGAGCAATCTTCTCTCATAGACACCCAAGAGCATGTTCTTGGATACTGGGAGAGGTGAGAGGACAGCTGTTGGTTCTCTCCAGCACATCCTTTCCCAGAATCCCCTGGGCCTGTGCTGAGCCATGATGGCTGCCCTGGGCCAGGTGAGGTTGCCGCTGCACAGCCCCTGTCTTCCCAGATGTGCTCCTCTACCAACAAGAGCAACCTTAACACACTGAATCTTAAAATCTTGGCCCACAGAGAGCTTTCCCATCCATCCTCTCATCTTTCCATTCATCCATTTATTCACTGGCATTTGTTGAGGACCTATCATGTGTCAGACACTAATCTAGGCAATGGGGATTCAAGACAGGAAATAAGATAGAGAAGGCCCAGCTCTCAAGCAGCTTGTATTTCACTGGAAGAGACAGACAATAAAGAAAAGCTAAGGGCTTTGAAGGACATAAACGGGCCAAGGTGATAGCATGTTGCGGGAGGCACTCAGGGAAGGCTAAGACAGGAAGGATGAGGAGACCAAGGGAAAGTCTGGAAAGGCCTTGAGGCAGGAATGAGCATGGGGCGCAGAAAGGAAGTCGCTGCAGCTGGAGGTGATGAAGGAACCGTTGAGGAGGAAGAGGCGTAGGGCCAACCATAGGGGGACCCAAGCTGGGAAGAAATGGGCTCGTGTCCCCAGTGCCAGCTCTGTGCAATTTCTACCTCTGCAGCTGATATTCTAGTCTGGGGAATGGGGACAAGGCTGGAGATGGAGGAAGGGGGCCAAGATCAAGAACCAAACTCGGAGCTGTTCACCATGATTAATTAACCCAATGCCAGAGCCCCAAGGCGCGGTGCTAAAAATACCTGCTTCCCTCTGAGATGCGGCAGCTGCCACCCAGCAACTTTTACTGGTTGCCATTTGTCATAATTTGACACTGATAAGGAGTGTCCACAGGGCTGTGTGCCTGCAAGAATCAGACTCATCGCAATCCACCGGCCAGCTGGTCCTCGGAAACTGGCCATGAGGCTTTCCTGCCTTAACTTTCCTACCATCCCAGAGCCTGGCCTGCCCACCCCTCGATGTGCCTGCCACCTGCCCTGGCCTGCTGGATTCTGCACCCCTTCTGGAACCCACCTCCAGAGGTGGCAGCCGAAGCATTCTCGAAAGCAGGAGGGCATCGTCGGATACCATGTTTCAC